CATGTCCCATTAGGATTTTGAAAGCATTGCTCTATTATCTGTCATCTTCAAGTGCTATTCTTGATTATTCCCAGGCTAATTTATTTTCTTGTCCTTTATATTTGACTATCTTTCCTGCCTGAAAACTCTGGCAGTCTTTCTTTTATCCACAGTATTTTGTGATTTCTCATTGATGTGTTTGGTGTAGATGTTTTGCCGTTCACTGAACTGTGTGCTAGGCAGGGCTTTCTCTCTAGGAACTAATTTCCTTATATGATTATTTGGTAATTTCATGTTTTTTATCATTTTATTCTTTTGGAACTTCTACTAATTAGGATCCGTGGACTGCTTCTCTAGATTTTTTTTTGTTTCTTTTTATTATATTTTATACATTAGAAAAGATATCCAAGTATAAAAACCTTGAAGCACAATATTAAAATGAGCACTTCTGCACTTATCACTCCAAGTCTAGAATTGTACTATCCAACACAGTATGCACTGGTCACCTGTGGATATGGAGCACTTCAGATGTAGCTGGTGTGACTGAGGAACTGAATTTTTATTTTTATATTTAAAATTTTTTTATAGTTTTTGTTTTATTTTTGAGACAGAGAGAGAGAGAGAGAGACAGAGGATGAGTAGGGGAGGAGCAGAGAGAGAGGAAGACAGAGAATCTGGAACAGGCTCCAGGCTCTGAGCTGCTTTTCTTTTTTTAAAAAAAATTTAGTGAATTTTTAATTCTAAGTATTTAAAATTTAAATTTAAAAGAGAATTCTGCATTCTGTTATTGGAAAACTTTTAAGTATGTTTGAGACAACTTGGCTTTGTGAATTTATTTCTTCCACTGTAAGCTTTATGACATGTGAGCACAGATCTGGCACTGTATATCTGTCGGACAGGCCCGGCTAGAATGTTACTGATACATTTTCACTATGTGCCTCTCTTCTACCCCATCACTGACTCCTTTTCAGAATAACCACTATGCTGTACTCTGCATTTATCATTCCTTTACTTAAACAAATAATCTACACTTATGAATAGATCATTAATCAATGTGTTTTGTCTTTCATGTTTTTGAACCTTGTAAAAATGGTACCAAACTGCATGTTGTCTTCTAGGATTTGCCTTTCCCATTCAACAAGAGCGTCCACTCTCTATCCATGTTACTGGGCACGTTCACTTCTGTGAAGTCATTATTTAAATCTGGCAACATTTGTTTTTCTCCTTACTGTTGGTGAACACTTGGGCTGCTCGTGGGCTTTTGCTGCTATGAGCAGATGTGCCACGAAAATCCTTGCATGTGGCTCTCGGTGCTTCTGTGCAGGACTTTCTCAGGGCGCGTACCTAGGAATGGAACCTCAGGGGCATAGGGAACGGTTCAGCTTTACTGGACAACTTCTGTTTTCCAGAGTGGCTGCATCGGTTTTCAGCACTGCCAGTGAATACCGCAGCTCCACGTCCTTGCCAAAACTTGGTCAGGCCCATTTTATCTTTCTCAGCCTAGCAGAATCTCACACCTGTCCCTGTGCTCAGAGTCCCTGGTAATGAAGACTGTACACCCTGTGTGTGTGGTCATCACTCTCTGTTTCCTGTGAAATACTTCATGCTTTCTGCCTGTTTTGAGATTGTCCTTTGCTTATTGACTTAAAGGAGTTTTTATATAAGGTCAAGCCATATTAAACTGCCACTATTCAACCTCTAAATATGGCAGTCATGTGACTCAACCTAAAATATTTTGGAAAACAATTATTTGCAGTATATGAGTTCAAAGTACCTTTTTTCAATTCATGAGAAAATTGTACTTTCCTTTATGGTAAATTTGATGAAAGAAATTCATTTTAATCTAGTTAAATTTATCAGAAATTGTTATTTACAATTAACCTTTTTGGTGTCTTGTTTGAGAAATCTTTTCTTGACCTGAAGGTATACAAATATTATCCAAAACTTACTTATAAAAGGATAAAAATTTGCCTTTCATAAGGCAAATTCTTGGCTAAGAATTACATTGCAGTATAAATTTTAGAATCAGTTTGCCATTTTCCACAAAAATGCATTCTTGGAATTATTATTTGGGTTACAATGAATGTATCAACCAATTTTGAGAAGAACTGACATCTTAATAACAATGAGTCTTCCAGTGCATGAACAAGTATAGTATAGTCTTGGCCGAGAACAGAAAAGTCAGTCTTGAAGAAAAAGAAATAGAACTTCCTCTACTGGATGAAAAGATATTATAAAGCTGTGGTAATTAGCTAGTTTGGCACTGGTGTAGGGATAGGCAGTCGACCAATGGAACAGAAGGGGAGGCTAAGACTTCCAGACCCCACCCTCCCAAACCCCTCTTCAGCGTAACTGTGTCTTCATAGAATTCTGCTCGGGTCCTGACTCCTGCTGGAAGACTCCCAGCCCAGCTGACTTTCAGTCCCACAGTGAGGAACCCCGATTACTGGCTTCAACTCCAGGAATCTTCTCAGGTTTTCTGAACATTTAAAAATAAACTTTGTGAGAAAGCACTAAAGAAATTTCAGATATTTTGCCTGGTGGAAAAACAAGTGTTTGATTTGTCTTGAAAAATTTGAAAGACTATCTTATGAGCAGTGGGTTAATCTCACTCTGTAATGATCCCAAGGCATTGAACTGCACATACACATAAAAGCTACAGAAAGAGGGGGTGCCTAGGGATGCTCAGTTGATTGAACATCTGACTCTTGATTTTGGCCCAGGTCATGATCCCAGGGTTGTGGAATTGAGCCCCGAATCAACGTGGAGCCTGCTTAAGATTCTCTCTCTCCCCTGCTTGCATTCGCTTTCTCTCTAAAAAAAGAAAAGAAAAGAAAAGAAAAAACAAAAGAAAGAAAAAAGGAAAAGAAGCTACAGAAAGACATTTCTGTACATGGGTGGTTCTAAATCTGAAACTTGTATCTTATTCTTTTGAAAAATGAGTGAAGTGGGCATTCTCTACTTTCTTTGTGAAGGTCAAGTGAAAACAATCTCATTGTAACAACGTTCAGGGTGAAATTTTTTTCAGATTTTTCATTTCGAATGTAATTAGGTTAAAAAACTATATTACCTGGTGAGTTCCTAAGTAAATTATAACTAAATTAATAACTCTACTTTTGGTAAATCTTCAGAATTAGTTACAAGAATCTTAGGGTTTTAATACTAACATGTTTTGTTATTCAACTATGGAGCTCATCTTTGAATTCCTTCCACATTATTCCAGCCAAAACTACTACCTTATTATCGCAGGCCTCTTTTAAATGTACAGACTTTTCCCACAGGTAAATTATCTGAACTTTCTTCAATGTTTCTTCACAATATTCATTTTAGATGCCCAGGAAACACCAGAAGATTCTTGGAGTTCAAGCCAGTAATCAGGGTTTCTCACTGCAGGACTGAGAGTTAGCTGGGAGTCTTTCCAGGTTTCAGGATCCTAGCAGAAATCTAGGAAGACACGGTCATGTTGAAGATGGATGGGTGAGGAGGAGTCTAGAAGGCTTCTCTCTGGGCTCAATACAGAGGCCTCTGGACTTTCACAACATATTGTCAGGCCTGCCATGCCCTGCGGTTAACTGGTGTCTGAAGTGTAGCTCTCCAGTCAACGACACAAAACGTCCTCACTCGAGGACAGTCCAGAACTTAAACTGGACTTGCCCCGTTGCCAGATTCTGTTAAAACTCACTGGAGAAGGAGATGAAGGGCTGTGCTGTCAGGTTCTCACGTTGGGCTGAGGACTTGGAGCCCCCAATCCCAGAGTATCCGATAGCCTGTGGGTGCAGAAATAACTCTTCTGAACACGTACATACACTTTCCAAGACCACGTACCTGCTGTGAAAAACAAAACCTCAGAACTTCCAGGGGAGTATGATACTTTGTCATCGAGGATAAAGTACAGCTCCTGCTGTGCGTGCACACTAGGGACAGCGTGCTGCTGGCATTTGCTGACCATCAGACAAACGGACCTCAGACTCAACAATTATTGGAGAACCACTGCCAATTCTCCAGATATACCCTGAATTCTGTCCTTAGGCCCTGTTTTCTCAGCTGGAAGCCACACATCCAGAATTTTCTTCTCCACAAAGACAATGTCATTGAGTTATGTCTTTAATGTTTTCATCTTGGCTTTCACTAATAAGTATATAAGAAATGGCCACATAAATAAAGGGAAATTTCCTGTAGAAACAGCCTAAGGAACAATGTTTCAATTATCCTTTTTAAAAATAAACTATATTGTTACTAGAAAATTGCATGTCTTAGACACTTTGTCCTTCAGTATTAGATAACATGTAACCACTTCCCAAAATGTTTTCTGTGAAACAGGAGCCCATGAAGATGCTTCAAACAGGACTGTGTGGTCAGTTAGTTTTGGAAAGCAATCATCTTATTGTTAAGATTTAGAAAATACATTAGCATATTATATTTAGTATATAGCATTTAAACTCTGAGAAGTCTTTAATTAAAAAACCACACCTAGCCAGCCTTTCCTAAAGTCATTATTTTAAAAACTTTAACTTGGAGGCACCTGGGTGGCTCAGTCAGTTAGGTGTCCGATTCTTGGTTTCAGCTCAGGTCATAATCACATGGTTTCATAGGTTCAAGCCCCACTTGGGCTCTGTGCTTGGGACAGAGCTTGCCTGGGATTCTCTTCCCCTTCCTGCCCCTCCCCCACTTAGGCTGTTTCTGTCTCAAAAATGAATAAACTTGAAAAATAAAAACTCGTAAAACACTTTTGAGAAATGTTCATGATTCATTGCTCGTCTCCCCGCCCCCTCCCCCCAGAGCTGAGGAACTTAGAACTACATTTAATTCTCAATTGTGGTCTTTATTTTAATTACCTTAGCACTTGTGCATATTCTAGAATTTTCAGTCTATGACAGCCTTATTGACTGTGGGTCTTTATTTTAATTGTAGAAATTACGTGTGACATTTGAAGGGTAAAAGGTGTAAAGAGATATTGAAGGATGTGAAATAAGACACAAACTTTTAAGACACTTGAAAGAACATTTCATCCATCACACAAATAAATATAGCAAATCTTTAAGAATGAACACATTGAAATTTTGATGTATTTATAAGAAAGTGAGATGGGCTCTGTGCTCCTTCCCTATGTAAACTGTTACTTGAGCAGCAGACAGCTGCATCGTCCTTACCTCTGATACCTAAATCGGCCTGTCTTTCCCGTCCTGATCCCACATGGAAAAGTACCATTCAGTCCTCGAGGTAAAACAACACAGAAAACCCTTGCTAAAAATGGTCAATATTTTATCAGGTCGAACTCGGTTGGTGCTGAGCGGGGTCGTGGCTTCGCCTGCAGGAGACGCAGTGCGGGGAGTCTGAGCGTCTGGGGGGCGCCGACGCAGGGCCCGCCGGGAAGGGAGCCTCCGCAGCCGTCGGGGGCGCCGACGCAGGGCCCGCCGGGAAGGGAGCCTCCGCAGCCGTCGGGGGCGCCGACGCAGGGCCCGCCGGGAAGGGAGCCTCGGCAGCCGTCGGGGGCGCCGACGCGGGGCCCGCCGGGAAGGGAGCCTCCGCAGCGGTCTTCTCAGGCCTTCGTCTCCTCGTCCCGCAGGGCAGCTGGCGGTTAAGTGAGTGGACACTGGACCTGTGGCCGGCACAGGATCATTCCTGCCGGGCAGGCCCTGGAAGTGACTCAGGACAGGCTCCGGGGTCCCCGTCAGGGGCCAGCGAACCAGGAAGCACCAGTCTGCGGAACCCCAGGTGCTGGCGCTCAGTCCCCGACGTCCGGGAGGGTCTTCGAGGCCGGTCCTGGGGCGGGGGCTGTCCCCAAAGTGTCGTCCAGTTCGTGGGTTCTGCGCGCTGGGTGGATCCTCTTCTTATGTCCGGTCAGGTTGGCGCTCACCCGGAACGCCTTTCCACACTGCTCGCACTCGTAGGGCCTCTCGCCGGTGTGGACGCGCTGGTGCCCGAGCAGGGCCGCGCGCTGGCGGAAAGCCAGGCCGCACTGGCTGCAGGGGTAGGGCCTCTCGCCCGTGTGGATCCGCCTGTGCTGGGTCAGCACGGAGCTCTGGGGGAAGGCCTTCCCGCACACGTCGCAGGCGAACGGCTTCTCGCCGGTGTGGACGCGCTGGTGGGTGGTCAGGTTGGACTTGCCGCTGAAGGCCTTCCCGCACTGGGGGCAGGCGAACGGCTTCTCCCCGGTGTGGACGCGCTGGTGCACGGCCAGGCAGTGCCGGTCCTCGAAGGCCTTCCCGCACAGCCCGCAGGGGTGCGGCCGGTCCCCGCGGTGTCCCCGCTCGTGAGCGCGGCGCCGGCAGTCGTGCCGGAAGGCCCGGCCGCACTCGCCGCACCGGAAGGGCTTCTCCGGGGCGGGGGCCCCCCGGGACCCGGCCTGCCCCGCGCGTGCGTGCACCCGCGCGTGCTTGCGGAGGTCCGAACGGCGGCGGAAGGCCCGGCCGCACTGGCCGCACAGGTACGGGCGCTCAGCCGAGTGCACGCGCGCGTGCTTGGCCAGGTCGGAGCGCCCGCGGAAGGCGCGGCCGCACTGCGCGCAGCCGAACGGCCTCTCCCCGCAGTGGGTCCGGCCGTGCGCGGTCAGGCAGTGCTTGAGGCGGAAGGCCTTCCCGCACACGCCGCACCGGTGCGGCCGCTCGGCGCTGTGCACCAGCCCGTGCCGGCGCAGGCGGCCCCTGCTGCCGAAGGCCTTCCCGCACTGCCCGCACGCGTGCGGCCTGTCCCCGCCGTGCGCCCGCCGGTGCCGGCACGCAGCTGCCCTGCTGCCGAAGGCCTTCCCGCACTGCGCGCAGCCGAACGGCTTCTCGCCGGTGTGCGTGAGCCGGTGCGCCGACAGCTGGCCGCCGGTCCGGAAGGCCTTCCCGCACTGGGCGCACGCGTGCGGCCTCTCGCCGGAGTGGACGCGCTGGTGCAGGACGAGGTCCGAGCGGCCGCGGAAGGTCTTCCCGCACTCGGCGCACTGGCTGGGCCCTCGCGCCTGCTGGGCGCTGCGCGCTGCAGGCCCGCCGGCCACCCCGTCCGCCCCAGGCGCCCGGGGCCCGGACGCAGGCCTCGGGACCCAGGCCCCTCCGCGCTTCAGGACGCGCTTCGCGTCCGGCCAGTCCCCGTCCTCGGGCCGCGTGTGGTCAGACGACACTGAAACGAGGAAACAAACACGCGGGAAGAGTGGAGCGGGGTCAGGACGGGGTGACCCGACGGCCGAAGGCTGGGTGGGCTCAGTGGGGGCAAGTTCACAAGGACCACAGTGCTCACACTTAGTAAACGTGAGGAGGGTCCTTGAACACCCGCTCGCTCTCCACACTCTCCCAGCGGAGCGAGTGGCAAATCCAAAGTCCTCGGCCCACCTCGGTCAGGAGACGCAGCCTTCAACCCTGCCCCTCCCGGACATCGTACGAGTCCCCCCGTGGGACCTGTGTGCGGTGTGACTGCCACCCGGTAGGGCGGGGGGGGCAGTGCCGTCCCAAGCCGGGCTCTCGCTCCCTGGGCTCTGGGCTCGTACTTCCGTCCAGAGTCCATGGAGGCCGGACGGCAGCGGTCACTGAGGGGAGGGAAGCCCGGCCACCTGGGCTGAGCCCCGGGAAGAAGGGAAGCGGACGCACTGGGGGCTGACGTGCCCCTGAGGAGTAGGTAGGTGCGTGTTCAGGGAAGCCGGCCTGAGTTAACTTTTCCTGCCTGTCTTCCCATGACCCCTGCCCGGCCCGCGCACCCCACTTCTGCCAGGTCATCAGCTCATTCCTGCTGGCTCACTGCAGCCCCACTATCTATGCTCTACTCTGCTTCCAGAGTCTTCTTTCTAAAAATCAGGTCTTATCACGCCACTGCTCAGTGTAAAATAGTTCGGGGGCGTGCCACAGTAAGCCAGACAGACGGGGGTAAAGTGTGCAGCTCAAGCGAGACTGTCTGGGCCAAAACCCTACCTTGACACCTAGTGGCTGCGCAACCTGGGAGGGTAACTCCATCTCTCTGCGCCTGGACCACCCAGGGGAGCACTGGCTGTGCAGCCAGCATCCACCTTAGGGCTCAGAGCTGAGGCCGTGAGGGGAAACAGGGAAGGGCAAGGGTCAGAAGCCCAATACCGGGAAAGTCCTGACAAAAGCTGGAGGCTTTCTGGGCACTGAAGTAACTGGTCCACAGAGGGGAGGAATTCTCGGAGCTTTTCTGAGGACCTGATTGCAGAGGGCCTATTAGCGTGCAAAGAAGCAATTCATGAGAGAATAATCGCCCAGTATGCTGCTGTTTGTTTTCTCTCTGTTATGGTTTTCTAAATGGACTTCCTCCAGGTGGGTGTGGATGGATGACGTGAGCTAAGAACATGCTAGGAGCGGCTGTCACACGGCACAGCGCCGGGGACTGGCGCTTCTCCTTCACTCACCCGGGAAGGAGCGTGTCAGGAGCCCCCAGTCCTGCGGGCCGTCAGCGCAGGGCGCGGCGCCTTGCTCCAGATGGGAGATGAGGGGCGGCTTAGGGAAGGCAAGGCCTGCTTGCGGAGGAGGAAAGTCAGTGTGCAGAGCGGCCTTACCACCATCCCAACACCCAGCCTCCGCCCCTCTGCTCACACTGGGGCGGAGAAAGGGTTTATTCAGGGGTCTGGCAAGGCGTAAACAAGCATATAGGGATGATCCGAGAAAGGTCATGCTCAGAAGGGCAGAGGCGGTGACCCCCGGAAGCAGGCACTTGGTTGTATCTCCCCCCGCCCCCGCCCTATGGGTAAGAGGCAAGAATGAGGGCTCTGACTTTTACTGTGAGGCCCCAGATATGTCCATAGACAGCAGTTCAAAGAGCAAGGACAGGAAGAAGTACTAAGCCAAGCAGAGGGTGTCCTCACCAGCTGACAGCATGTTCCCATAGTTCTCCAGCATCACGTCGGTGTACAGGTGCCTCTGGGCGCGGGTCAGATACTGCCACTCTCCGCTACTGAAGCACACGGCCACATCCTCAAACGTCACCGCGTCCTGCAATGATAGGCTCCTGCTGACCTGGAGGAAACCCCAGTCCCCAGGAACAGACGTAGAAGAAAGGATTCCGAGAGGTTTCTAGAAATGAAAGATGGTTACTGTTCCGTGTATATTTGGGGTTGAGGTGGAAGGGGGCATAGGCTGTGCACAGTGAAAATCATGACAGGGAACAATCCATGAATGGTGTGTCATCCAACAAAATGTTCCTGGTGAGTGAGAACACCTGGATTTCGGGGTTAGGGAGCGAGTGAAAACAAGGCCATATTTAGGAAGTGGTGCTGTATTTCCAGGAAGGATGGAGGGCTTGCCTGGGCCTGACTCACCGGTGTGGTATTTGCTCCTGGCCAGTCTCTGTGGCTTCTGCCGTCAGCAATGGAAGGATGCTGAGTCGGCAGTTCTGAGGGAAGAGAAATGAGTCAACTTGGCACAGTATTGATGAGACTTCACGCTTTTCCTCTTCTTCCCCAACGTGGAAGCTTCTCAGGCTCTGCCTTCCCCTCATTCCTCCCACCTGTTTCCAGTTTTGGGCATCAGCCACGCTGATGGTAAGTGCTTGTTCTCCCTCACCTACAACGTGGTTTTCTGTGGTTGCTCGTCATCCTGGAATGACCTCGCCCTTCTCCAAGCCCACATACTGACTCCTGGCTGGTTCGATGACCTCTCTTCCAGGATCTGAGTATTGAGGTAATTTCCTCCAGAAAGACTAGGGGTGGGGAATCCAGGGACTGGCCCACAGCTTGTTCCTTTATTTAGGTAACTTATTGGCTGGCCTACCTCGGGCCATTTTCCCTTGTTCTTACTAGAGAAACAGCACTTGCCCCGACTCTGAGTCTCCCGTTAGCTCCTGGCCCGGAGCCACCGTCTCTCACCGTGGTGCACATGCAACAGATGGTGTCCAGGTGTCCAGGACAGCCCATTAGGGGCCGGCCAATGAGGGCGGTCCACACTGCTGGTTAGGGGGCCCTAATTCATTCCTCGGGGGTAAGCTTCACCTTTCCGTACCTTGTGTTTGCGGCACCTAACCTTTCTAGAAAGTTCTTCAACACATCCCCAATCCAAGTCTGAGCGATCTTCTTCAGAAGATACCAGGGGGATTAGTCACTGACTGATAAGACTCTAGGATCCCCCCGTGGACTTTGGTCCCCAAAACTTCATTCCAGTTTTACCAAAACTTCAGTGTAGGAGGAAACTGGTTTCTTCCCAGAGAGATTTCCCAAGAACATTGTTCTTTGGTTTAGACCCGGGCTGTGTCTCAGTCCTCACGGTCATGCTCGGTTGCTCCACGTCTCACCTACAAGCCCACGCACTCCCTGTCACACATGGTCCCGTCGGGCTCACAGCAGAGGCAGGTCTGGTCTGCAAGGGTCCTCATGACATCAGAAACGTGAGTCTCCCAGCTCGGGTTTTTGTTCAATCTGCATTTTGTTTTTTTTAAATGTTTATTTTTGTGTGAGAGACAGGCAGAGTGTGAGCAGAGGAGGGGCAGAGAGAGCAGGAGACGCAGAATCTGAAGGAGGCTCCAGGCTCTGAGCTGTAAGCACAGAGCCCGATGCTGGGCTTGAACTGGTGAGTCACAAGATCATGACATGAGACAAACTCAGACGTTTAACCGCCTGAGCCACCAGGTACCCTCAGTCCATATTTTATTGTAAACAGTTTCAAATATACAGAAAAGCTGAAAGAACTGTTCAGTAAACATCCACATACTCCCCACTCATGATCCACAATTAGTATTTGCAATAAACCTGTCTGTCTAACTAGCCCTGTCTCTACTAATCCACTTGTCTTTGCTGCGTTTTAAAGTAATGGAGACATGAGCAACTTCACCCCAAAACACATTCTCCCACCTGTCAATAACTGGGGTTCAGTATGTGTTCACATTGTTTTTGAGGTGAACTTACATACAGTAAGATACACAAGTTGTAACTGTACCATTGGCTGAGTTTTGACAAAGCACATCCCGATTTAACCCAAAGTCCCCTCCAGATATGTCCTCATTGGATTTTTACTATATCTTCTTCACAGACTGGGAAAGTCTTGTTAAGTCACAGTGGTTCTTTTTTTAAAAAGTGTTCATCGTGCTAATTTTTTAAAATACATATTTTATTAAAAATTATTTTTAAAATAATTTATTTTTGAATGAGACAGAGACAGCATGAGCAGAATAAGGGCAGAGAGAGAAGACACAGAATCTGCAGCAGGCTCCAGGCTCTGAGCTGTCAGCAAAGAGCCTGATGTGGGGCTTGAACTCACAGACTGTGAGCTTGTGACCTGAGCTGAAGTCAGACGGTTAACCGACTGAGCCACCCGGGTGTCCCTAATTTTTTTTAAAGTAGGCTCTGCACCCCACGTGGGGCTTGAACTCACAACCCTGAGACCAAGTCATGTGCTCCACTGATGGGTCAGCCAGGAGCCCCCAAAGTTTTTTGAATTGTGGCAAGGAATATGTGCCAAAATTTACCATCTTAACCATTCTTAAATGTACAGTTTAGCAGTGTTGAAAACACACAATGTGTGTCATCTCCACAACTTTTTCTCCTGCAAAACTGAAACTCTATGCATCACCCAACCTGCCGTCTCTCCCTCCCCAGTCCCTGGTCACCACAGTGATTCTTAGGCTTTATGTTTAGCTTCAGATTTTGAAAGGACAGTTTCTGCCCTCAAGTTAAAAATGAACCTGGGACACAGGCTGCGTGTTCATGACATGAAACTACCTTGATCAGCTCAATATACCCTGGACTGGCAGGCTCACGTTTCTCAGTTCAGGAGGCTGGACGTTCAGATCCAGGTGCCGCCCCTCCACCTGGCTTCCCTCCTTCTGCCCTCACGTGGGGGAGCCAGAGTTCTGGGCCCTTCCTCATATAAGGACACTACTCTCTTCATCGCCCCATCCTTATGACTTTATCTAAACCTCATTTCTTTCCAAGGCCCCACCCACCTCTCAATATCATTACAACTGGGGTCTGGGGACATGTGCATTTTGAGGGAACACATTCAGTTGGTAACAAAACTACTTGTTAAAGCAGGGCACACATAGTATCTGGGATGAGACTGATTCATTTATGACTCCTTATACAGTAGAAATTCAGGATTTCTTTTCTGGAAGTGCCAATAACATACTCTTTTTTTCATTGTAGATAATATACTAAAAACCCACTTTTGAGGTGCCTGGTGTCTCGTCCTCTGTCCAAATGTCGGTGCCCTTCAGGGTCTGCCTGTAGGACTCCAGAACTGCTAAACGCTGTGCCCTGGGTTTTACCTCCAGCAGCCACTTCTATACAGTCTTGTCCACCTTCCTCTGCAGTCCCCCCAAAAAGCATTTCTAAACCCATCCTCACAGTTCCCCATCTTCCTTTACTTTTCCCAAAGCTTCACAAGACCTTTGTCCCTTCTTTGCCAGTTCGGTTTCTCTGGAACTCAGTCTATGCCTCTAATCTCAGGGTTCCCAAAAGGTCTACAGAAGTGAAATTACATACACTCAAAATTTACACATTGATAAAACTGGTGGGTGGGGTAGGAGTTACTGACCTCTACAAGTTTTATGTACACATATATGTTATTTATCATATATGTCAAGTTGTACATATACAAGTGATTGAATGCATTCAATTTCTTTGATAAACTGCTCTGTAGAATCTTTATTTCTTATTTAAAAAGTTTTTAATGTTTTTATTTATTTCTGAGAGAGACAGCATGAGCAGAGGAGGGTCAGAGAGAGAGGGAGACACAGAATCTGAAACAGGCTCCAGACTCTGAGCTGTCAGCACAGAGCCCGATGTGGGGCTTGAACCCACCAACCATGGGATCATGACCTGAGCCGAAGTGGAGGCTTAACTGATGAGCCAGCCAGGAGACCCTGTAGAATCTTTAAAAAAAAAATTTTGTTTATTTATTTATTTTGAGGGAGACAGAGACAGCACGAGTGGGGGAGGGGCAGAAAGAAAAGGATAAAGAGAGTCAGTCCCGATTAGGCTCTGTAGCACTGTCAGTGCAGGGCTCGATCCCGTGAGCTGAGAGATCATGACCTGAGCTGAAATCAAGAGTCGGACACTTAACCAACTGAGCCACCCAGGTGCCCCTGGCTTTATAGAATCTTTTGAGTCTTTGATTATTTTTTCCAAATTTGATTTAAGACGAGGGCAGAAACTGAATAATTTAGTTCTCTCAATACTGATCCCAGCCTAGTATAGAAAAAACAGAAGGCTTCCAGTAAATGCTCAATAAGGAGGTTTCCAGGTCCCAGGAAGCACCCTCCCCACCACGTCCCTGCTCCGTTTCAGCTGCCACAGCTCCTGGCCCCACAGCTCTGCGCCTCACCTCCTTCCTGCAGGAGCTCGGCATCGGGGGCCCACAGCAGCTGGTGTGGTCCGGGACTCCCGTCTGACAGCACCACCTGTCACAACGCACAGAAACAGGGAGGCTAGGAGGGAGGGGGACAGGCTCTCATCAGCTATGTAGGTTTGTCCGTGGAAATCGACTCCCAGAAATAGCAAGAGGGGTGAGGAATTCAGGGACTCAGTCCCTTAGGCGAGGCAGAAAGGACATCCGACAACTTCGGGGGTCACCAGCCCATCCGGGAAACGTAATAAAACTTCCAAGCAGAAAATCCCCTTCCCTCCCGCCTAGTCGCGGCACGCCGCAGGCCGTCCCGGCTCACCTGCTCCGTCTTTCCCCCGCCGCCCGTCCTCCTCCACCGCTGGCCGGGTCGTTCCCGGGGGCTGCGCGACGCCCCCGCTGTCATTTCTGGCCCTGTCCGGACGTCACGTTTCGACGTGGCCTGGGGGCCGCCAGCGGCCTTCGGGGACACGCGTACTGGACGTGCCCGCCAGAGGCCCCCGCCGACCGCCAGGGCAGCTGCTCTTGGACTTCATGTGTCAAACCCTGTGCTGGATTCGGGCCCCATGAGCAGTACTGACCTCGCTGTGATCCCGCAGCCGGTCTTCCTGCGTATTCGAAGACAGGGGACAGGGAGGAAAGTGAACACAGCGGAAAGGAAGGGCCCCCAGGGTTTCGTACGGGGAGACGGGGCAGCCCGGGAAGACCAGCTGGGGACGTCGGGGGCCTCCGTCACCTGCCTGGCCCGCACCGTCACCCGCGGGCCTCCCGCCTGTCTCTTCTCGGTGCCACAGTCAGAGAGGCCGGTTTACAGCGTGGGAGGGGGGCCGACTTCCTCTCCGTCTAACCCCCCCCCGTGTCCACGGACTTTGTGTCGGCGCACAAGCTGTGTAGTCCACACGGTCCGCCCTCTCCCACCGCAGGGCCTCAGCGCTGGCATCTCCCCACCCTCCCCGGTTCCTAGCGCACCCCGAGAAGACACACCCTGGCGCCCTGCGCTCCCCCGATCCCGACGCAGCGCTCGCCGTGCCCCCTCCTACTCAGCAGCTCCTCATCCCGCCCCGACGCCAGGATTCGCACACCTCGTCCCTCTCTAACACCTGCGCTCCGCCCACTGCGCTCGCTGAACCCGTCTACACCCGCGCCGGCAGCTCAGAGACTGAATAGGCACGGGGCGCGGCGACAGAGGAGCGCGGGGGGGTGGGGGCAGGGCCAGAGGAACCGGGGAGAGAGCCGCCACCCCGGCCGCACGGCGGCACCCCTGGGGCCGCCCCGGGGTCCGCTCAGGAGCCCGCCCGTGCGTCCCCGCCCGGCGCGGGGTCGAGGCGCAGCCCTCCCCACCCAGCTCTCTCCCGGCGCCGGGAGACCCGGGCACCTGCACTAGCTCCACTTCCTGGTCGTCCGGCATCCGCTTCCGGCGACCTTCTAGGAAGCGCAACTCGCTGGTGGAAGGCGGCTCGAGTCCCGGGGGACGTCCTGAGGCGGCGACCCGGGCGGTGGCCGCGGCGTCCGAACAGCGTCTCCTCCGTGGCCCTCCCCAGCGTGCGCAGGAATTTGGAGCCACAAATAAGTGAAAAAGTCACTCTTAATTGGGAACCCAAACACGAGAAAAATAATGGAATGCTCTTTTTCAAAAATTAAAAACTTCCTTGTGAAGAATTAAGCCTAGTTGGAAGTTGAGAGAAGGTTGAGAGATTAATGAACCCGCATATACTCATCACTCAGACTTAACAATAAATAAGATTCGGATGCTGGTTTGGTCTGTTCCCCCGAGTTTTCCTTGCGGAAATGTTTCAAAGCAAAACCCTAAGATGCTTTTTCAATTTTATGCTTTTTAGAATAGTACATTTACCCCCCACCCCCCCAATTTTAAATTATACTTAACATACAGTGTAGTATTGGTTTCAGAGTAGAATTCGGTGATTCATCACTTACATACACATCTAGTGCTCCTCAGAGTGGCCTCCTTAATGCCCAGCTCCATCTGGCCCATCCCCCACCCCTCCTCCCTCCATGAACCTTCACTTTGTTCTCTGTGGTTAAGAGCCTCTTATGGTTTGTTTCCCTCTCTTTCAGAATGCATTTTTAAAAATGTATTTATTTCTGAGAGAGAGACAGCATGAGCAGGGGAGGGTCAGAAAGAGAGGGAGACACAGAATCGGAAGCAGGCTCCAGGCTCTGAGATAGCTGTCAGCACAGAGCCCGACGTGGGGCTCAAAGTCATGAACTGTGAGATCATGACCTGAGCCGAAGTCTGGTGCTTAACGGACTGAGCCCCACAGGAGCCCCCAGAATGCATTTCTTAAAAAAAAAATAGGACATTTTCTGACAGAAACCGCAATGCCATTATCCCACCTAACAAATTCCTGGTTACCATCTAATACTGAGTCCATATTAAACTTGCCCCGGGGCGCCTGGGTGGCTTAGTCGGTTAAGCGTCCGACTTTCGCTTAGGTCATGATCTCGCGGTTCGTGGGTTCGAGCCCCGCGTCGGGCTCTGTGCTGACTGCCAGCTCAGAGCCTGGAGCCTGCTTCAGTCTGTGACTCCCTCTCTCTCTGACCCTCCGCTGCTCACGCTGTTTCTCTCTCTCCTAGAAATAAATAAAAATATTAAAAAAAAAAAATAAACTTGCCCAAATGTGTAAAGCATGCTTATTTTAAAAAAATTAATGTTTTTTTATTTATTTCTGAGAGAGAGAGAAAGAGGGAGAGAGAGAGACAGACAGCGTGAGCAGGGGAGGGTCAGAGAGAGAGGGAGACACAGAATCTGAAACAGTCTCCAGGCTCTGAGCTGGCAGTCAGCACAGAGCCCGAAGTGGGGCTCAAAATCATGAACTGTGAGATCATGACCTGAGCCAAAGTCGGAGGCTTAACCGACTGAGCCACCCAGGCGCCCCAAGCATGCTTATTTTTTTGACTCAAGATGCAAAGTCTTCCTCCATCAGTCCTCAGTTTGGAGGAGGGCATTTGTGGGGATGAGCACTGCGTGTTATAAGGAAACCAACTTGACAATAAACTATTTGTAAAAAAATTTTTTTTAATAAAAATAAACTGGAACCTTAAGTGAATGACTTAAGGTCCTTCTTCATTTATAATGTAAAAAAAAAAAGATGCAAAGTCTACATGCTTTCTTGGGTTCTTTTAATTTTCTTTTAATTTAGATCTAGAATAGTTCCTTCTACCGTATTCTATTCCACGCCTCCTCCCCTCCCCACCCCCACCCCCCACAATGCCTCCTGAACAAACTGGGTATTTGTCCTGAATGTTTCACATGCTGGTTTTGTCTATTTGTATCTTCATTTATTTCTCTAGCCTTGTATTTCCTGTTAATTTGGTTCAAGTTTGGTTTACCTTTATGGGTAAGAATTATTCTTGGGTGGTGCTATGTACTTATTTTTACTTTATATAGTGAGGTGTATAATGTCTGACTGTTCCATTCTCTGTGATGCTAAGATTGTTCAGTGAGTGCAGCTCTTGAACATTGGATCTGTCGATGTGAAGTTCTCCATCAATCTTTAATTTTGTGGTTTCACCTACTGGTCTTTGCCTAAATCAACCATTTAATTAGGGGTTGCAAAATCGTGATTTTTCTAAGTCCAGAGGTTTTGTCGCATTTATGAACAGAAATTTCTTTATAAAGAAGGATTGTTTTCTCTCAACAACCTATAAATTCAGGATGATTTGGTTATTCTGAAATAACCATACAGGAAAGGAAATAAATACGTTCTTTTCAATTTAACTGCTAGTGTTCACAGTAAATAGTTGTTTGCCCTAGGCACCATGACCAAAGATGTGCTGGTCATCCTTTGAAATGGCCATCAGTGAACGCTTCCAGGATCCATTCCTGTGTATCTCCCTTGCACAGGGTTTCAGAGCTGGTTTGTGTGACCAGTTGAGTATGGCAGAAGTGATGTTATGTTGCTTCTAATGTCTTGTTAAGTTATAAAAGTGACTGTGGCTTCCAACTTGATCTCTCTCTATCCCTCTCATATCTTTCACTCTGAGGGAGGCCAGCTGTCATATTGTGAGGAGTGGCTCACATAGTGAGGAAATGAAACCCCTGCCAACAGCCATGTGAATGAGTTTAGATGTGCATCCTTCAGCCCCCAGTTTAACCTTCAGATGACTGCAGCCCAGGTCACAGACCTAAAACCAACAGCTGAGCTATTCTCAGATTCCCAATCTGCAGAAACTGTGTGAGGTAATACATTTTGATGTTTGATTCTGAATTTTGGGGGTACTTTGTTATGCCGCAATTGATAACTACTTTTCTTTGTTCTCTTTAATGTTGTTGTTTTTTTTTAATTTTTATTTCGGAGAGAGAGAGAGACTGTGAGCAGGGGAGGGTCAGAGAGAGAGAGAGGGAGACACAGAATCTGAAGCAGGCTCCAGGCTCTTAGCTAGCTGTCAGCACAGAGACCGACACAGGGCTCGAACCCACAAACCACGAGATCATGACCTGAGCCGAAGTCGTATGCTCAACTGACTGAGCCACCCAGGAGCCCCAGTTCTCTCTTTTTGAATACCATTACAAATACATCGGTTTTTCTCTTCTTTTCTATAATTTATTTATTTATTTATTTATTTATTTATTTATTTATTTATATTTTTTAAATAGTTTACTGCCAAGTTGGTTTCCATATAACACCCAGTGCTCATCCCAACAAGTGCCCTCCTCCATGCCCATCCCCACTTTCCCTCCTCCCCACCCCCATCAATCCTCAGTTTGTTCTCGGCATTCAAGAGTCTCTCATGGTTTGCCTTCCTCCCTCTCCCCCACTATTTTTCCCCTCTTCTTCTCTCCCATGGTCCTCCGTTAAGTTCCTCCTAATCCTCCTAAACGTGCAAACATATGGTATCTGTCCTTCTCTGCCTGACTTATTTCGCTCAGCATAACACCCTCAAGATCCATCCATGTTGCTACACATGGCCCGATTTCATTCTTTCTCATTGCCATGTAGTATTTCATTGTATAGATAAACCACATCTTCTTGATCCATTCGTCTGTGACACTTCGGCTCTTTCCATGTTTCAGCTATTGTTGAGAGTGCTGCTATGAACATTGGGGTACGTGAGCTCCTATGCATCAGCACTCCTGTGTCCCTTGGGTCAATTCCTAGCAGTGCTATTGCTGGGTCATAAGGGAGTTCTATTAATTTTTTGAGGAACCTCCACACTGTCTTCCAGAGGGGCTGCACCAGTTTACATTCCCACCAACAGTGTAGGAGGGTGCCCGTTTCTCCACATCCTCGCCAGCATCTAGAGTCTCCTGATTTGTTCATTTTAGCCACTCTGACCGGCGTGAGGTGGTATCTCAGTGTGGTTTTGATTTGTATTTCCCTGATGAGGAGGGATGCTGAGCATCGTTTCATGTGTCTGTTGGCCATCTGGATGTCCTCTTTGGAGAAGTGTCTGTTCATATCTTCTGCCCATTTCTTTACTGGGTTGTTTGTTTTTCCGGTGTGGAGTTTGGTGAGTTCCTTATAGATTTTGGATACTAACCCTTTGTCTGATATGTCATTTGCAACTATCTTTTCCCATTCCGTCGGTTGCCTATTAGTTTTATGGATTGTTTCCTTTGCCGTGCAGAAGCTTTTAATCTTGATGAGGTCCCAATCGTTCATTTTTGCTCTTGTTTCCCTTGCTTTTGGAGATGTGTCAAGTAAGAAGTTGCTGCGGTTGAGGTCAAGGAGGTTGTTTCCTGCTTTCTCCTCTAGGGTTTTGATGGTTTCCTGTCTCACGTTCAGGTCCTTTATCCATTTTGAGTTTATTTTTGTGTATGGTGTGAGAAAGTGATCTAGTTTCATTCTCCTGCATGTTGCTGTCCAGTTCTCCCAGCACCATCTGTTAAAGAGGCTGTCTTTTGTCCATCGGATATTCTTTCCTGCTTTGTCAAAGATTAGTTGGCTGTATACTTTTGGGTCCACTTCTGAGTTCTCAATTCTGTTCCATTGGTCTATGTGTCTGTTTTTGTGCCAATACCATGCTTGATGATGACAGCTTTGTAATAGAGGCTAAAGTCTGGGATGGTGATACCTTCCGTTTTGGTTTTATTCTTCAGTATTACATTAGCTATTCAGCGTCTTTTGTGGTTCCATACAAACTAGGATAGTTTGTTCTAGTTTTGAGACGTATGCTGGTGCTGTTTTGATTGGGGTTGCATTGAATGTGTAGATTGCGTTGGGTAGTAATGACATTTTAACTATATTTATTCTTTCTATCCATGAGCATGGGATGTTTTTCCATTTCTTTGTGTCTTTTTCAATTTCCTTCATAAGTTTTCTATAGTTTTCATCATACAGATCTCTTGTATCCTTGGTTAGGTTTATTCCGAGGTATTTTATGGTTTTTTGTGCCATTGTGAA